GCCTGGTGGAGGGGTGGGAGTACTCGCTGAGGTGAACTGGGTTGTGGGACATCGATGGTTTTGAGGGGTCTACTGATGTCAACGTCCTGCCCCTGCAGCAGTCTTCTGGGATTGTCCTACAAGGTCAAAGCAAAAACCAAGATACAATGAGGTTTGAAAGGCATTGGTAATGCCTTAAAGAAAAACCTGCATTAATGATGATCTTCTTTGGTTGAAGGCAGAGGTGGAATAAGGAGGACAGCAAGGATGTGCATGTGAGGGAACAGACTTGTGTGTCATTCTACCAGAAGCTTCTCCCCAACTAGACGGGTAGATTGAACAACAAACAGGAGCGAGGCACCGGTGGAAGTGTGCACCAGTGTTCAGATCCAGCTCAAGGTGTCTGTGAGGATGGAGGAAATCCCTGGGAGACGAAGAGTCAGGACTTCCGGAAGCCGGGGCTGAGGTTAGGGGCCAGAGACCACTCTTCCCGAGTGGCTCCCACATGGCTTCCTTGTGTTTAGAGACAGACTAGGATCCTGGTAGGCTGGACCCACACCATCCTCCCCTTCCTCTTTTTAGCTTCCTCTGTGTCTTTAAAAACAGCTTCATTGAGGTATAACTGACATACAATTAACTGCCTATATTTAAAGGGTATAATTTGGTAAATTGACATTGTCTACACCCGTGAGCCCATCGCTGCAAACAACAAAGTTTCTTTGTACCCCCTTCCTGCCTCTCCCCACCCCACAACCCAAGCAACTGCTCCTCTGTTCTCTGGATTGGCATTTCCTGGAATTTTATATGTGATGATCGTATGTCTTTTTGTCTGGCTTTCTTACTCGGCCCAGTTAGTTTGAGATTCAGTCCACTGTGGCTGCACCCCCTTTTTTTTTTTTAATCTATCACTTGTTGATGGATATTTGGACCTTTGCTTGTAGTTACATATTTGGGGGCAGGGGACTCACAGGCTCCATCCTTGAGCCCAGCTCTCTAATCTTTTTGGATCAAGGAAGATAAAACAGTTTATTGACTATTGAATATGTGACAATTTTTTTTTCCCCCAATCATTTATCATTTCTTGATATCAACGTTGTTGACTATTAAAATTTAGACTTTTGTTGAATTGGTGTTTGGGAATTCTCATGGACACATCAAAAATACTTGGTGAAGAAAGCTAAGGATTAGAGTGAACTCTGGTAAATTATTAGATTCACAGGGAAAAAAAAAAAAAAAAATTGAGAGACAGCAGGGGGCCATGAGGCACGTTGAGTTAAACACCCAGCTCCCTGAAGCCCTGGGGTGACAGATTGCACAGCTTGGGGCTGGAGCAAATAGGGGGCACACCCGAGGACCCCATGCAACCTTATATATACCAGGAGAATGACGGGCCAAAGCCATGCACACAAGCCCAGGCAGGGGCATTCTGAAATCACAGGAGGGGCCCTGCAGTTGGAGCCTGGTTAAGCTGTAAAGCCAGTTGGCCTTCTGAGAATCCGGCCAGTATGGGTGGTTGGGGTGCTGGAAGGGCCACAGCTTACAACATACCCCATACTGTGCCACACAGGGGACACTGGCTCCTCCACAGTATTAATGGAGCTTCTTGGGCCCCCATGGGCCTCCCTCGAGCACCCCAACATCAGCTTCCTCCCAAGCTTCTCTGAACTGTCCTTAACCTGCCTCAAGCTTGCGTGAAAAAGCCCACGGCTCCAGGCCGGTGCCAAGTCCTCTTGCTTGTCTAACACTCACCTTAGGTGTGCTGGAAGGTGGGGGCTTCCTCGTCAGGCCTTGGCTGAGGTGGGTGAGGTGAGCCTGTGGAGGGTGGGGGCTGCCACAGGGCCGGGAGGCACGCACACACCTGCAACACAGTCCCGCACACGTTTGCCGAGGGGGCCTCCCCCGCCGAGTCCTTATACTTATTCACAGTAACAGTCAAAAAACAATTTTCTTATTTTTAACTCAGCACGGTAAACATGCAAAGGGGAAATTACCCAGCCCTTTCACAAGATTGAAAATATTGATTTTTCTCCCCAAGGCCGCGACTCTGTTAAATTAGTCTTGCAGTGCAGAGAGGGGCAGCTCTGTGACACCCAAGGGATGTTCAGTGTGACAGTGTCATTAAAGCAGTAATGTCTCTGGGTTGAAAGCCATCCCAACGGATGCTGGCTTCATAACGTCTCACGCCATTTAAAAACGACTAAGGCAAGGCCACAGAGAGCCCAACGGAGGAACCCACCAACACGTGCTCGTCTCTGGAGAAAGCAGCAAGTGGCCTGAAGGGCTAGTGGAGGCAGCGGCCGGCCAGGCAGAGAAAGATAAACAGAAAAAAATAAACCGTTCACTTTCCAGAAACCCTGCCCTCTTGTTTGCTAAGGAAAACCAAGTGAGAAGCGGCCTGCCATCATTCTTTCGACTGCCATGTCCTGAGACGCGGAGACCAGAAGTCAGCGTACCTTAGTTTCTCAATGGTGTTCTTTTTATTTGTAAACAGCAGCTGTATCAAGGTCTTCCTTTTGAGGTACACCACGCCCCCCGCAGCGAGGAGACACAGCGTGGCCACCAGGAGCCCCACAGTCAGGCTCTGGTTACCTGGAATAGAACAGAGGGGCTCACGGCACGGCACTTCCGTTGAAGCTTCTGTCGAAGCCATGAGGTACCAGCCTGTGGCACTGGCAGCAAAGCAAACTCGGAAGGAGTGGAGCGACACAAAGAGAAAGCAGACATGTGGTCTGGTAGGGGGACCTGCAGCCTGGAAGACAGACGCTCCTCCCCGTGTGACACCAGCAGCAGTAGCCGCAGAACGTCGCAGAATGAAAGCACTAAGGTCCTCCCAGCATTCCTCACCCATGTGCTGCCCCCCCACCCCCAACCGAGGCGCCTTCTGTTATGCCGGCCGTCAGCTCCCATCAGTGTGTCCGACTGTAGGGGCTGCATGTTGCTGTGGGGCTGAAGGTTGTGCCACCAGGATTTCCAATCCCAGCAGGGTCGCCCGTGGTGGGCAGGCTGCAGCAGCGCTTCCAGACTCAGACAGACCAGGGGGAGAGGCCAGTGAGCCAAAAGTCAGTGAGAAGCCTGTGGATCACGAGAGAATACTGTCCAACGGAGGGCCGGGAGCTGAGCCCCCTGGGTGGGGGGGACCAAAAATCAGACCAGCTGCTGCTCCCACTTGGGGATGGATGCCTCACACTCTCCCTGTGCCTGGACTTTGTCCCGACAGGCCCCAACAATCAGGGCCACGTGTCAGCCTGAGTAGGACAATCATTACACGACAGTCTGTATTCGCTTGTTAGCGTTACTGGAAACACCACTCTGGTCTCCTGGCCAAAATGCCCATCTTTCCAGACCATTAGTGGCAGGCGTGAGGGCCCTGCACAGAGTGCTGATGCCTCCTACCAAAGGCAGGTAAACAAGCAGCCAGCCTTGATCCTGGATCTCCGGCTCCTTCAAATGCATCGGTTATTCAACTGAACCTCTAGCAGCCCCGCAAACTGCACCCTTCCCCCCCCACCCCACTTCTCCTTTGGGTGCCTGTCTCCATACAATGCCATCTACAGAGTTGCTTGACCTGGTAAGCTGGGTAGGGTGGTGGCCACATCTCTTCTCTCTGTGCAGTGCATGCACACGGTCCTGAAGTCTGCCTCCCGTACCGCCTGCCCTCAGCTGCACCCATTGGTTCAGACCCTGCGTCTCCACACAGCCACCTCTGCTCAGAACGGACCTCCTCTCTCCACACCTCAACAGACCCATCCAGTCCTGAGCAGAAGTGTTCCTGAGCTGGGGGGTGCACACTGGGCTGGACTTGCTAGATGTCTCCAGGACCTGGAGGAGGGGCTGGTGCCTCCCGGATGTTGGAGAAGCACTTGTTTGGTGAATGACTGGGCCACGGTTGGGCTGCTGGAGCTGGTTCTGCCCGGCAGAGCCGCAGGCCGCCTTGCTCATGCCTGTGCACGTGTGTGTGTGCACACGTGTGGTGGTGAGAGGTGCTCAGAGTGTCCTCCCTTTCATGATACGATGATGGTCATGGGTAATGAGACTCTTGTTTGTCGTTTTCAATATTCTTTCTTGGTACCATTAAGAGTTGCTGACTCTGTGGGGTCCCCAACTCTTTGGAAATCCCCAAACCTGGGAACCGTGGATCATGTGTGGACACACCAGAGAGAGATCCTAACGTGTGGCACCGCTCCTGCCACCTTTGTCAGTCCCTCCCAACACCACCACACTTCCTTGAGTGGAGAGCAGGGGGGACAGCACTCTTTTGTCCCATGACAGATTAAGGCTGTCAGTGAAGGTGGAGCGGGAGAGCCGTCATCGGGGAAGACAGCGGGAAGCAGGGGACGGTGGGCCTTGCCCTCGCTCTCCCACCTGGGAAGGCGTGCTTCACACATGGACTAGCAGTCTTTCTCAAGCTGCCACAGGGTGGCCCCAGTGAGGGGGTCCAGGGAAGCGCACCCTATTCACACGGAAGGTGTCTGCAAATGTCCACAGATGTGTGGGAGGTTGGCCTCCCAGCCCTCCCGCCTGCCCCGCCCTGACAGCAGTGTTATGTCTGTTGCCATGGAAATGACAGGAAGCCACAGAGTCAGGGCTGCCAGCACAGCAGGGCTTGGGGACTTGTGATTTCCGTGGCAGTGGGACTGGCCATCATCTCAGAGTCCTGGGGCCTCAGGTGTGTGCCAGGGGTAGGGGCACGGTGGCCCAGTGAATCCCACCGGCTCTGCTTGCCCCCTTGTGGCATGCTGGCTCTCTGTATTGCTGGCCTTCCTTCTTTGACCCTAACAGGGACCTCATTGAGACTTGCTTCTTAATTGCCTGACAAGAAGTCCGGGAAAACAGTGCCGTACTAGGGACCATTTCTGCAGGTCACCCAGGGAGCAAAGAATTCAGAGAGAGCCACCCCAGCTGCTGGAGACTCGGGAGCTGGAGTCTTATTTTTAGCTGTGTGACTTGAGGCGAGTTACTGAACTTGCCAGAACATCACGCTCTAGGTACATAGAGAACGAACACTTCCATCTACTCCAGAGTTGTGTGAGGACTACATGAGATCCTGCGCCCGCATAGCGTAGCGTGCCAGCTGCACACACCAGTGATTCAATTCACGGAAGCTGGTGCCATTACTCCTACCCAAACCAGCACTCCAACCACTGCCATCGTCGTACCACCACTGCCGCTGCCACCACCATTCCTACCACACCACCGCACAGCTCCTACTACCACTGTCGCCACCACCACTCAGAGATAAAGTTCATACCCACAGGGCAGTTTGCTGGAGGAATTACCTTAGCTAAGCAAAGCGTTACAGGATGAAAAAACACAAACGCAGGTGCTTTGTGCAAGCAGAGAGCCAGCTGAGTCCAACAGGTCAGGTAAGGAGGAGAGAGAGTCTGGAAGCTGGGTGAGGCCCAGGCTTGTGTTGGCCCTACTGTGGGGTCCCCAGCAGGGCTGGCTTCCCACTCTTGGGGCTACACCACCCACCGGATGGCCTGGGAAGCCTCCCTCCCTGGTGCCTGCTGCCCGCCCAGCAGCTCCGTGCCCCTCCTGGCAATGCACTGCCAAGGCTGGCGGTGTCCTCACTGACCTGGCTGTCGGACGGGACCACTGTCTGAGCTGCCTCCGAAGCCGGGCTTGTCGCAGAAGGGAGGGGCCCAGTGGGCCTCGCAGTGGCAGTGCTTCCTATTGTTGCACACCTTCCGAGGGCAGCAAGAGGACACGAGAGGGTGGACAATGAGAGCATGCCTTCCACCGAGGGGCCCACCCCCACACCAGTAAGCCGAGCCACAGCAAACAGCAGCCCGAGGATGAGCCCGATGGCCCACAGCCCTAGGGGACCAGAGCTGGAGGCTGTAACGGGCACTCGCTGTGCCTGCTGGTGGCTGTGACAAGGATGGGGATGAGTGGGGCTCGTCCACCCCTTCCGCCCCCACCTTCTCTTCCCAGTCTATCTCCTTGTCCATCTTTCTAAATACAGGAAACGCTTACCATCTGACCTCACGACAAGCACCTGCTCCCCTCCAAGGCCTAGCTACAGTTTCTCTCAGAAGCTTTGTCTGCACTCCCTCCTAAGAACTGGCCAGTGTCTTCCTTGTGGAGTTTCTCCTAACCATCTCCACGAACACCCAGTCAGTACCCTGTCGAACCTGTGGTTTCATGACATAATGCTCCTTTAAACTTTGGCAGACCAACAATGGCAAAGGTAGACATGTTGCATCCATCAGAGATGAATGAACTCGCTGTGCTCACTAGCAACAACGGTTGATTAGATGGTTGTGTTCAGTCAGTCCCGTGTAAAAATAAACCAAACTGGATGACAGAATCAAAGGGCTAGCTCTGAGATTTGCTAAGTAAGATGCATTAATGTGTGTGTTGGAATGCTGGGTAGAGATTGGTCAGCTGATGACGACATTTCTCAGCAATGAGGAGGACCCTGCTTAGGTGTCATGACTTGGAGCTTCCGGGTATTGTGGGACCTGGCCACCCTTGGCATACCCCATGCCACCTTCATAAAGGATCAGAGTGGCTGGGCATCCCGAGTCTCACAGCGGGGCTGCCTGTTTCCTGATGGGGTCTCCTGAAACCATATCTCACAGGAAGGAAGCCCACACCCCACAAAGTGCCCAAGATTTCGACTAATACTTCCTTCCTCTTGGCCCACTCCCCAGAAGACCTTCTGGAAACGCCCAGCTCCTTCCTGCACAGTTCCAGGGCTACCCAGTGACTCCAGCTGTGCGTGGGGCACAGCCAATGGGAGGGGTGCCCAGTGGGGGCTAGGGGAGGGTGAGCTCTGCCTTTGTGGGTCCTGAGGCAGGACCCTTGTTAGAAGACTCAAAAATTCATGGAGGGGCTAGGGAGCTGCTGATCAAGTGGTAACCAAGGAATACCAACGGCAGCTGTTTGCCAACCTGTGCACGGCCACCATACTTGTTATTGTTGAATATGTAATTTACTGAACTAGTACATGAGCCAGACACACTGAACATGGAAACAAGATGGCATCATTTCTACAAATATCACATCAGGTGGTTTGGGGAAACTGGATAAAGGCAAGTCACCAAAAAGAATTTTTGACAAATCAGGAGTGGGCGGGGCAATGGCAAAACAATTGGGAAAAGTTACAGGAGCCAAGACGGACTCTGCGCTTCAGCTGCTTTTGGGTGGCTGAAGTTTCCCTCCATCCGAGCAAGCGGACGTAAATTTCCAATGATGCGTTTTGGGTAGTTTCTATAAAGAGGTCCCCTCAGAACTCCAGTCAGGGGACCAATTTCAGGGGCCTTGGCCCTGCCTCAAATACAGAGGCCGCTGTGCATTCAATGACTGTAAGGCAAAGTGACTGGTTTGGGGTCTACATGCCTCATTTGTGACGATTCCTGCTTTCACTGACTTTTTTTTGATGACCCTTCACCTGCACCAGTGGCTTCAAAGAAGGCTGATGGTCAAGGTAGCTTGTGATAAACTGGAAAGTAAATTCCTACAAAGCTGAAATCAAGCATGATTAACTACTGAGGCAGAGCCTACGTTCTGACCTTCTTGGATCTGACCTTCTTGCCTGTTTCTGCAAGGACAGTGCCACTGATGTCCCAGCCCCCAAGACGCAGGCAGGGGTGGGTGATCCACATGGTCTCGGACCACCTCCCACCCCGACTGCCACTCCTGCCCTTTTGGCAGCTGTGGCAGAAGGATCACAGCCTTCACACCTCAGTTGGGGAATCTGCTGGAGACACTCATCTCATTAGGAGGTCCCGGGGCCAAGCCCCTGGCCACCAAGCCATGGCTAGCTGTTCCAACTATCTAGGAAAATGTGAGTTTTCCTTTTTCCTCTGTAATATGTGCATGAGGTCCTAGAGATACGGGGAAGGAAGGCGTCTAGGGCTCTAGACCCTATATTTCTGTTATCCCGTCCTGTCACCTTGGGCCTCAGTTTCTCCACCAGTGAAATAACAGGTGTGGACTAGACCATCCCTTACGGCCATTGCAAAGGAGGCTATGATCCAGAGAAGACATAACAAGACACCACTTCACAGGGAGAGCCCAGTGCAGTCGACAAACCCATGGGAGGTGGCACCACCACCCTTTCTGGTTACAGCACAACGATTTCAGGAAAACCCCCACCATTCTAGGTTAGAGTGGTCGGTGGGTGTCTGCAAGTTGGACAAACAGCCTTTGGAGTCTGCGGCAAAGGCTGAGAGACAGAAAGGCTGGAACTACTAGCGTGGTTACCCAAGATTAGTAGGGTTCCACTGGCGACACTTAGGCCCATCAAGAACAACAAACTACTGTTCCAACAATTAGAGTCCTCTTTTCCCTGAAGGGTCTCTGAAGCACAACTGCAGCTTTCTTTAGTTGAAGCCCACAGTATAGGGTTTCTACAACATGCGTCTGTCTCTGTGTTAAGTCCTCTTGGAAGCATTTCAGTTTGGACGCACATTCTGACCATCAGTGGCAGGGAGGGACAGCCCGCTCAGAATGCTAATGGCTAAGTCTCCTTGAAGGAAGGAAGGTTAATTTTGCAATTACTTTGAAAA